GTTTCTCTCCCTGCTCCCGACCCTCTTCCAGCGCGTAAAGCAACCGGCCGCCGTCCCTCGTCTCCTTCTCGCCTCCCACGAGTCCCCCCCGGTCTAAACGGTTGAGATCTCGCTCCCCTCCCTCCTAAAACCCCTGCAAACCCCTGACATTCCGGGAGTAGCGCCCGCACCAAGCCCCCGCTCTCGTTTCTCACTTCAGTCGGTCTCTCCAAACTCCGAGCTCCCGACCCGCAACTTTCTCTCCTTCCCGCCCCCCACCGCGGGTTAGTTACCTGTTGGCAGCGCAGCGCTGGGCAGGGGCGCAGACGATCCGTCTCCCTCGCGCTCAGTTCTTCCGAAGTTTTGCCTCTGGACTTCCCCCCTTTTGTTTTTTTTTTAAAAATACAAATTTAGTTCATCCTGCCCGTACCACGTTCTCCTCGCCCTGCCCTTGGCATCTGGCCACGTGGGTGGGACCAGAGAGCGCGTGTCTGGCCTGACGCCTCAAAGAAGGGAGCTGGGGAAAGGGTGGCTCACTTGGGAGACGCCCGGCTTCTTCGCAAGGAAGGAGCGCGCCCCTCTGGCGGTGCCTCCTGGCTCATTGTGGCCGTTAGCTGCAAGGGGAGGCAGATCGTAGTCGTTTCCCCTTCCCTCCCTGCCACGAGAAAAAAAAGTCACCTGTTGGATCTCTGCCTGTGTCTCACCAAAAAGATGGAGCAGTCCCGATGCTCTCATACTCCTGTGCTCATACTGTACAAGGGATGCTGGTGGATAATTTTGAGCTCAAAACTCGAGTAAAATCACCTTATTAGAGCTTACTGTAATATATATTGTGTCACCTGTTGGATTTCTGCCTGTTCAGTCAGTTCCAGCTCTTCATGACCCGATGGACCTCATTTCTCCGAGACTGTGTGTCAGGAACTGCCTCTCTGAGTTCTTGTAAACTCATGCTTGGGTCAGGAACCTGGTCGCCTTGCCTTCTCTGTACCTCCTTTTCAATTACCTTCAATGGTCACAGGGTCTTCTCCAATGACTCCTGCCTTAACCTTATGTGTCCAAAATATTTAAACTTTAGCTTCATTATCAGTGTTTCTGATGAGCAATCTAGCTTTACTTCATCAAAGACTAAATGATTCGTTCTCCTTACAGTCTAAGGCAGTGTTTCTCAACCTAGGCAACTTTTAAGATGTGTGGACTTTAAGTTGTGTGGACTTCAACTCCCAGAATTCCCCAGCCAGCCCGGAACTGGAAAAACTATTGCCTTGATGGTATATACTTGGTTGTCAATGGGATGACCCTGAATATTAATATTTTATTTGGGGTGTATACTATGGGAGTTCAAAATGGGGTGAGCATCTCTACTGAATTTGGAGATCTTTTCTTTCTGATAAGTTGGGGTTACCATCTTGTTCTCAGAGCAAGACAGCCCAAACAGGATGCCATCTGGAACCACCTCTGGAGTCAGGAGTTACCATTCTTTTATTTTTATGGTATTTTTCTTTTCTCCAGCTCTTTCACTCCCTTACAAACACACACACACACACACACACTTTGGACAGCATAAAAGCTAGCCAATATTATTGTGGCATATCCTTTCATGGACTGTAATTCTCCTCCTTAGATTCTTTTAGCATTATCCTCAGCTGGCAGTTATTTTTCCTGGCAAGAAAGTATGTCTACTGCATTGGAGAAGAAGAACTGAGAGGCAAAGGTAAAAAAGAGAGCGGGGGGGGGGGGAATTGCTAGGCTAGAGTACATAGCCTATTTCAGTATTCTCTGATTGTGGCCAACCACTCATTCTTCAGCAGCTGGTGTTCAGTGGTACATTATCTCTGAACATAAAAGATCCATTTAGCCATTAGTATTAGTAGGAGTTTTATTTATTATGAGCTTATAGCTAAGCACAGTAGAGATGTAAAATAAAGTAACAATTGATGAAATAACATACTACAATCTATTATAATAGCATCATAATATAAAATTAGAGCCTCTAAACTAAAAGGTTCTTGACACATAATAATATCAACTGCTATACATATACAGGTGAAAACGTTTATATTTTAAAGCTACTTCAGAAAGGCCCATGAAAAAGCAGCATTTAATGAAACATTCAGGTGATCCAATCCCATGGTGGGAGTCTATTCCAAAGAACCAGAGCCAGCTGAGAGACAGCTCCTAATTAATAATAACCAAATCATAGTTATCATTATTAAATAAGTCTGATTAAGGAATCAATCATGCTTTTTAAAAATCTGGTATCTTCCAGCTGCACTGAGATTGCAATCCAAAAATTCCCAGTCAGCAAGATATTCCAGTCAGGAATTCTTGGGGCTGTGGTCCCAATATATTTGGAGGGCAACAGTCTCTGAACAATGAATTTGTCTAAATCCCTTTAAATGGTTATTAGTACATCATGCATTGGGGTAAATAATTAATCAGACATTGTATACTTTTAAAAATCTGGTAACAGTCTGTTTCACTTGCGCTTGTAAAACAACCCCAAAATATGCTGAGACTGGATTCCAAGGCCCATCACAGCCTGTTGCTGGTACCTGGCTACAACTATGGGGATCTAACCCCTGAACTAAGACTGTCTTGGGCTGCAAAAAAAACCAGGATGACCCTAGGTGGCAGTGAGGGATTAGTGTTTTCTGTATCTCTTTACTATTACCCCAGGGGTTTTCTGGATTTCTGCAACCTGGATCTGATAGTCATAATTTTTTTAAAAAGGGGGGTGTTCTCTTGGAGGGAAAGAAAAAATAGTGTACAGGGTGCCTCTCACACTAGTTGCCTATTTTACTCAACCACAGTTGCATTTCTGATTAACAACTTTCACAAGAATGCATCACTTTCAGGGAAAATATCCAAAGGCACTTTACAGCCGTCTGTAAAAATAACAGCGTGCTTTGTAACCTTAGGTCTGTGGTACATAGACAATTTGATTATTTTCATCCAATTATTTGCTGTCTTTCTGGCAGCTCAAGGTGGTTAACAGAGATGGGGAGAGGGATTAATTACAAACAATTGCATCATCTATAAAAACAAGTATAAGCCCCTATCCAGCTGAGCAGCCAGACCAATTCACATGCAAAATATATGCCTGAATAAAACAAATGTTGCTTCGGTGGACAGGTAATACAGAAGAAGTTAACTTCACTTACTTTCAGAGCTCCACAGCCCCTAAAATTAATTTTGCAGTCTTAAGATACTGTCCCATTCAAACATTATATTAAACCATAATGTGCTTCATAGTTTTTTGGCTTAGCTGTTCTTTGACCCTAGCTATTGTACTTTGTAAACTCTGCTTTATTGCTCAATGACTTTTGAGAACTCAGTTGGCTGTGTTTTGTTAAATAAACCTATATGTTAAACATCCATGGCTTGTGCAATGTATGAACTCAATCATTGTCCCCAGTGAAGAGGTCGAGATTAAATAAGCATGGGATTACACAATAAAACTATGTGTATTCACAAGCTTCCTGAAGGTGGGACAAACAAGCTTTAAATCACAATTCAGATTAATAACCTATTCATATATTGTATATACTCATGGATAAGCTGAGAATTTTAGGTGCCAAAGTGCACCCAAAAAATTGGGGTTGGCTTATCTGCAGGTGGGCTTATCTGTGAGTATATATGGTACATTTACTACCTAACTGTGTAGTACAGTGTTTCTCAACCTTGGCAACTTTAAGATGCATGGACGTTGCTGGCTGGGGAATTCTCGGAGTTGAACTCCACACATCTTAAAGATGCCAAGGTTGAGAAACACTGGTGTACAGGTAATCCTTGCTTAACAACCACAGTAGGGACCTGGAAATTGGTTAAGTGAGGCAGCCGTTAAGCGAGTCACCATGTGACTGGACTTGATTTCACAAACATTTTTATGATGGTCATACAGTGAATCACCATGATCGTTAAGCAAATCACGTGGTTGTTAAGCAAACCCAGCTTCCCCAATGGACTTTTTGCTAGAATTTGCTTAACAACCACGTGGTTCACTTAACAATCGCAGTGATTTGCTTTACAACCATCATAAAAAAGGTTGCAAATCACAACCACGTGACCGCGGGGTGGGGTGCGAGTTTGCGATGATCGTAAATGCAAGTACAGGTTGTAAAGCACTTTTTCCAAGGCTGTCATAATTTTGAACCATCATTAAACGAACGATTGTTAAGTGAGGACTACCTGTAGTCTAATGCTTAAGGGATTGGGGTAAGAGCAGGGAAACCCAGGTTCAAGCCCACCTTCAGCCACATAAACTTAGCTCTTAACCCAACCTATCTCACAGAAGAAGTGCTATGTATGTTATGTATACTACCTGGAGCTCCTGAAAGAGCTATACATTTAACAAATTTACAATCATCAAATTTACTATCCAAATGCCTAAAGACTAGTAAAAGATGGCTGAAATCATTGTGTTTACTTATTTATTATCACACCTTTCCATCAAGAAAAAAATGGAATAAATAAATTAGGTACTCCAATTTTATTCTAAACAAGGCTGCGATGTTTTTCATATATACGTCACCTTTCTTCCTCAGGGAGATTCAAGAAGTTCTCAGCAAATGCTAGCTCTTCTAGAATATGGAACACGGGGCAAAAGGCTGTGCCTTGTGGGGTGAAGGGGCTGACAAATACGGAGAAGGAATAGGTGGCAAGAAAATAAATAAGAGAAAGGAACAGAATGAAGTTTCAAAGTATTCATTTATTCAGAAATAAGTAACAACCTCAATGACAGAGAAAATACAGGATAAAATAGACACAGAGTGTCCCAAGCTTGGCAATTTCCAGGTGTGGGAATTTGAACTCCCAGCATTCCACAGCCAGCATAGCCCTTGATGAGAATCCTGGGAGTTGAAGTCCGCATACCTGGAAATTGCCAAAGTTGGGAAGCACAGGTCACAGGAAGCTGGAGGGAGGGAGGTATTATGCCCAGTTGATACAGGCTGGAGAAAAGATGATTGAAGAGTAGTTTCTTTTCCTTCCTTCCTTCATTTTGATTTATATGACCACAAAATACCACAAAACTGCAAGTGGAGATAGCATTTTGAATCCTCTCCCATAACAACCAATCACCTTTCTTCAAATAAAGAACTAATTCATCAGAGAGAAAAGTTATAGCTCAGTCTGTTTCCTTCTGTGCTATTTTTCTACTTGCAGTCATTTCTTAAATATAGGGAAGCATTTAAAAAAATGATCGAGCACCTGCAGTTAGAAATAATACAATCAATTCTATCATTTCAGGGTTTACTGCAGCACCCACCAAATATAAATATATGTATGTATGTATGTATGTAGATTTCAAGTGAACTGCCAATTCACTTCTCACCAAAGGAATTATTCCAAATCAAAACCCAAAGTCTGAACCCCACAGAAAAGCTCTGTCAGTCCAAATTCTGCCCTTTTGATTACAAATATAACTAAGTATAAAAAGATCTGATTAGTAGTGTAAAATCTGAATTCAGATTGATCCAGCCCAAATTTAAAATAGTCCTTTCACGAT